AGACTGGGAGTTGACAGCCGTCCCTTTCAGCAAGGAGCACCGCGCTTAACGCATGATCAGAGACGGCCAGGTACATGTAGAGATTTTCTTTGGGCAAAGGGCTAACCAGCCTCGGCAAGGAATGCAAGTGAACCTTTAATTTCTGGAAGGCGGCCTCAGCATCCGGCCCCCATTCAAACCTTGCCTTCTTCTTAATTGCCTGGAAAAAGTATAAGCATTTGTCGCCTGATCGGCTTAGGAATCTTCCCAAGGCCGCCAGACAACCTGTTAACTTCTGAACCTCTCGGACAGTACGAGGCGACTGCATGTCAATGACCGCCTGTACCTTCTCAGGGTTCGCCTCTATTCCTCTCTGGTTGATAAGGAATCCGAGAAATTTCCCAGACTCAACTCCAAATCCGTGTAACAGTATAATCCCTGATCAGTGACGAAGGCCGTCTTCTCCTGATCTTTCTTCCACAAAGGAATTTGATGAAAACCAGAATAGGCGTCCATAAAGCTCATCAAGGCATGGCCGGCTGTTGAGTCGACCAGGTTATCAATTTTAGGCAGTGGGTAACTGTCTTTGGGGCACGCCTTGTTCAAGTCTGTGTAGTCTACACACATTCGCCAGGTGCCATTCGGCTTTTTCACAAGCACCACATTTGCAACCCAATCTGGGAAGTAACATTGCCGAATGAACCCTGCATCAAGTAATTTTTTGACTTCGGCGGCTGCCGCCTGACTTCTTTCTTCGCCATGGTTCCGCTTCTTTTGCCGTACCGGCTTCTTTTTCGGATCCACAGCGAGTTTGTGTACTGCCAGATCAGGACTAATGCCTGGCATTTCATGGACTTCAAATGCAAAGATGTCCTTGTATTCTTTCAACAGGTTGTGAAAGTCGTCACCAAGGTTTCTCAGAGCAGTCGTCCCTACTTTGACTGTTCGGTCAGGATGGGAGTCGTCTAATATCAGGTCCGCATGCTCACCAGCCGGCTGAGGGCGGAACTCATCCGGCCGGTCCTCTGCCAATGATTGCTATTTTCTTGCTTTTTTTGCGGACTCAGTCTGGGGTGCCTTTCTCTTTTTGTCGCCTGTTTCTTGAACAGGCGCACTTTCCTTGACATTGTCAAGGTCTGTTTTTTCTCCACTTGACCCAGTGGCCATAACAGTGGGCTTGACATCCGAGAGATAGCACTCTCGGGCCATCCTCTGATCTCCCCTTAGGGAGCCGACTGTTCCATTGTCCCTTTCAAACTTAAGCAGCATAAGTGACGGGATTATAACAGCCTTGGAATTATTCAGGGTTGGTCGACCCAGAATCATGTTGTAGGCAGAGAGTTCCTCTACCACTAGGAACCGGACTACCATGTGTCGTCCTTCCCCTTTTTCGCCCAGGCGGATGGGTAGATCTACTCGTCCCAGTGGGTGGACGACTCCTCCTCCAAACCCTATTAAAGGGTGGGAGGCCGGATGTATGCAGTCCGTCTGATATTTCAGTTTTGACAGACATTTGCTGCTGATGAGATCTGAAGAGCTCCCGGTATCTATGAGGATTCGACCAACTCTCTGGTTGGCCACTTTACATTCAATAACGAGAGGGTCGTCATGCGGCCCCCTTATTCCTCCTAGATCCTCTTCAGTGATGACAATCTCAGGAAATGTATATTTGGACGGTCGTTCTTGGTGAACGGAATTTACATCTAACCGCCTTATATTATCTTTGTTGCCCCTAATAGTGGGGCCGCCTCCTGAGAAGCCGCCTGCAATGGTGTAGACGACTGCATCATCTGTATCGGAACTGTCGGCCTGTTGATTCTTTTTGGCCGACTGCTTTTTTGAGGCAGTATTCCCCGTAGATTTCTTGACATAAGTGTCAAGATCACCTTGATCAGCCAAGCGGTCTAGGTACCGCATGAGACTGATGCAGTCATTGGTGTGATGACCAATGTCATCATGATAAGCGCAGATTTTGTCTTGGTTCCGGTTGCTCGCAGAACCCTTCATGGGGAGCGGCTTCTCAATTGAGAGTCGTCCCTTTATTTCTTTTAGGATAAACTGGTTATCCTTGTTAAACACATACTTTGGGGAGTATGGTTTGAATTCTTTTTTCTTTTTCTGGGCCGGCTGTTTAGAGGAATCAGCCGCCCAGACCCCTTTTCTTTTTTCATCTTTGTTGGACGACTGTTTCTGTCGTCCTTCTCTATTGTCGAACCTCTTCCCGTCCGACTGTTTCATCGTACACAGATCAGTCGCCTGTATATAGGCTTCTGCTTCAATCAAGGCCTCTTGAAGAGTCGCCACCCTTTTTCGAACTAAATCAAATTTGAAGGTAGACCCGTCTTTGAGACCTCTAAAAAAGTCAGTATAAGCTACCTCATCCGGTAACCCTTGAATCTGTATTCTCATCAGGTTGAACCGCCTGATGTAGGAACGAAGCCCCTCCTTTTCACCCTGCTGAATTGTTCCCAAATCAAGGGTCGTTTTCTTCGCAGGGATGTTCATTGCGAAGTTGGAGGCAAATAAGTAAGCAAGCGTCCTGAAGCTGTTTACACAACCCGTCGGCAGGTTGCCGAACCATTGCTGTGCAATTCCCTTGAGAGTCGCTGGGAAACACTTGCACCAAGTGGGATCATCCAACCCTTGAAGGTACATCAGGTTGGTGAATGCCATCAGATGGTCTTCCGGGTTAGTAGTGCCATCATAGGCGCCTACTAAAACATTTTTTACTTTGGCCGGCTGAGCGGCTTCAGTAATTTCCTTGGAGAAGGCCGACGGCTGTTCACCAAGTCTAAGCAGCCGTAGCTGCCAGTCCATAGGTTGGACGTTTTTTTGCTACAGGTCCACCAAATGGAGGTGGCTGCATAAAATATTGTTGTTGCGGCACAAATGGCAAATTTGGTACCGCCTGCGCACTATGAAAGCCGGACTGACGGGAGGTGCCGCCTGACTGACTCTCATGGTACGACTGAGTTGGCCTCATCGAGGCATTTCGCAAACTGTCCTGAAAATTTGAAGTAGAAGCCGACTCTGATAATCGGTCACTCTTCTTCTGCTCTAGCAGGTGCCGAGCATCTGTGAACGTTTTCTTTGACCCGTCCGCCTGAATATGACGAACCGGTTTTCTATTTCCCGTAGGATAACGGAGTTTTGTGAAATCAAGAGCAGACGGCTCCCGCTTCTTAGATTTAGGATGGGGAGTCGCCTCTCGCCCTTGAACTGGCTTCCTCTTCAGTGAAGTGGAAGGTTTTTTGGCCGACTGCTCTTTGACTGAAGCAGGCGGTTTTTTGTTGATCAACTCTTGGATCTCTCCCTTGAAGCCCCTCATGAAGGTCATGAGTTCGTTCCTTGTGATGGGAGCAGACCCATCAGTCGGCTGTTGCCGAGCAAGCGGTGCGCCTGCTGGCTCGCTTCCTGTTTGAAGATACTCCCGTTCCCTTATTTCAGTATGACGGGTACGGCGGGCCCTTAGGGTCCCGTCTGGAGCTGTATGAGTTTCAACTTCAAATTCACTTTCGGTATCATGGTCCGACTGAACTTGAGGGTCGTCTAGGGGACGCCTCTCCTCTGGAATCGGTACAGACTTGGATGCCATCTCTGAAGTACTCTCCCCACAGACGGCGCCAAATGTTTCGGGGTTTTCTGATGTCCTGCGGGAGAGTTACAATTCCGAGACTGGAACCGGACGCCTGTACCTGCAAAATAACGGAGACTCCTGAGAGCTCCGCCTCCAACGGTCAAGTTAGTACCTGATTAAGGAGTAATCAATACAGAAATTAAAGTAATCAGATCTCTCTAGGTGAGAGTGCTTAGTGTTGGTAATCTGCGTTGTTAGCGAGATTAGCCGGTTGTTAATAAGTCTGTTCTTCTCTGCTTGATCTCTTAATTATTCGGTTCTGTGATTAATGAGGATTAATCGAGTATTTATAGCCTTGGGAAGCGTGCAACTCTCTAGGTTTAAGGTAAACCTAGGGCTGATCGGGCCTCTAGACTGAAATGGGCCTTGATGGCCGGTTGTCCCATTTGGCATGGGTGGACACGTGGCGTGTCTTAAGTGGTCCGTGGAGGACGTATCTGTGATTGACACGTGGCAAGCTCCTGTTGGCCTTCGTGAAGGACACGTGGCGGAACCTGGTTGGTCCACTTGTCAGACGGTGATTGGTGGATAAAAATCCCCTAATCAACTACCGTAAATTAAAAAAGTTGTGAATTACTACCGCAAAAAATTTTAAGATGTTGCGATTACTACCAAACTCCCATTAAACCCAACTATGACGTCATTATATCACTTTAACCATTATGACCAGAATTATGACCAAAATTTAAATAACTAGTTGTAGCTTAATGACAAGCAATGGAAACAAAAATGCATTAGGACAATGCAAGGACTAGATTAGTAAGGCTTAATCAACCACTATGTTCGTCATTTTCTACCCACATGTGATTGTACATAGTGTAACCACAGTTTTTGAGTGGAGGAATCCTCTAAATAATAAAAGAAAAGTAATAAGACAAGTATTTTTGTTTAAGTAGTAAAATATTACCTCCGTTTTTTTAGTTGTCACGTATTCTTTTTAGGAAGTTTTTTTTAATTAACACGTTTTCTTTTGGGGTAAGTTTTTACCTTGCATTTACAAGCTACCCCACTTGCTTTATTATTCTCTCTCACTCTCCCTCATCTCCTTAATATATGTGCCTAAATCAAACGCGTCAACTAAATAAAAACAGAGGAATAAGTATTATTTATGTATTCTTGTTTCACAAGGGCGGGCCAAGCGGCTTTCAAGTTGCTCTCTATTTTGATTTGGAGCATCATATCGTACATTTTCGTCAATTAGCTAGCCTCTTGGTTGATAATTTTGTCGCAACTTCATTTTCATGCATTATTGTAAGTTTCTTTGGGACCTTATCTTTGGCATATCTATAACATTGACAAAATTCGACAGTAAAAGCAGAAGTTTTTTGGAATAGTGGATAAATAATAATTCAGATCTCATATAATAATTAATAAATCAAAGAATAAGAACTCCATCCTACTGCTTTTGCTCTATATAAGAAAGCATACATAAGTAAGGACTTACAAATATCTAATCAAGAATTAGTTATTAGTACTAATTATTTTCCTTCTTACAAAAAGACTACATTTTTTTTTCTTTTTTTTTTTTTTTGATAATCTTAAGGCCATCGATAGTTCATGGTCATGGCTGTTGCTACCTCAATGTTCATTATTATTGTTCCATTTTTATTGCTTGGCCTACACTCCACAGGTATCAATCTCTATATCCATTGTTTTTCCTTCGATAATCCATTATCTTAGCTTATTAATTAGACTTCTTTTCGAAGAATAAAGAATTGAAATTTATTGGTTTGGGTCAATATTATTTTTAAATGTATGTTTGGGTTAAGTTGAGCATACTACAACAAGTTGACTTTATCAATACGAGAGACATACATAATAATTTGTAACACTATATGTTACAAGTTTTTACTAACACTAATGATGGTTTAATATATGTAGAGGCACAAATTGGAGTATGTTATGGAACGAAAGGAGACAACCTACCAAGCGCAGAAGATGTAGTAAGCCTCTATGAAAACAACGGCATAAGCGCAATGAGACTATATGAGCCTAATGAGCCGATACTCAAAGCCCTACAAGGTACGGACATCAAACTCATGTTGGGTGTCCCTAATGAAGACATTCAATGTATAGCGACCGATCAACCAACAGCTGACGATTGGGTCCAAACCTACGTCGTCCCCTACGCTACTACAATCAAATACATTGCAGTCGGTAATGAAATCCATCCATCTGATCCGGAAGCCTCATGTGTAGAACCAGCTATGCAAAATATACTAAGCGCGTTAAATTCAAACGACTTGGGAGGCCAAATTAAAGTTTCCACGGCAATTGATATGAGCTTAATCAAAAACTCGTTTCCACCATCTGAAGCCAAATTTAAAAACTTAACATATATTACACCGATATTAGACTGTCTAACAAATAATGAAACGCCTTTGTTGGTAAATATTCAAACCTACATTGCCTATATAAACAATCCGAATAATATTACACTTGACTACGCGTTATTTAAGTCACAAGGGGCTATGGTTTTTAATGATAAAGGGAAGCAATACAATAATTTATACGACGCAATGTATGATGCAGTGTACGTAGCTATAGGGAAAGTCGTTACACCACGTCAAAAGGGCAACAATTCAATATTTGATGGCATTAAGGTAAATAAGAAGAAACCGTTGCCACCGGCGGATTCAGAAAGTGGGTGGTCATCTTCTGACGGTAACGTTGGCTTTGCTGCCATGTTGCAAACTAAAGGTGGGGGAAAGAACGGACAACCCGGTAAGATGCAGCCGAGGGGGCCTAAGCAAGGGTTGCCGCCGCCACCCTCGAAGGGAGGAAATGTAGCCACACCGGAAAATGCAAAGACTTTCTACACGAATTTGATCAAACATATTAAGGAGGGCAAAGGAACACCTTTGAATCCAGGGCTAAAAATTGAGACATACTTATTTGCAATGTTTGATGAAGATCAGAAACCCGGGAATGAAACCGAGCGTCATTATGGTCTTTTTAATCCTGATGATGAACAACCTAAGTATGGCCAACTCGACTTTTAATTTGTTTAAATTTACAAACTTATGTATTATATTGTTATTCACTTTATCAAATATTATGATATATAATAATAAGTTGTGTATTGACAAGCGTAAATTTCTAAGTTTTATGATAACTCTATAAAATAATCCATAGCCTAGCTGTTGCTCGATCTTGAACAATTATTTGTGCAATTATTAAGGATGCTCGTCCATGAACAAATTATTGTACTTAATCGTACCAAGTGGCCAATTCAATCTCCATAGCCCACAGTTTTACATTTTATAAAAAGAGGGTGTTAACTGTTAAATATAAATAATAAAATAAATAAATAGTGAATATGTTCAATAATGTGATCTGAATATAATGGTACATATATAAATTCCCTCAATAATAAGGTAACTCAAATCAACCAAGTGGGCGGCTAAACGAACTAGTAGTACAACTTGGACTTGTTCAAGGTGTACGTGTCATGTTTTCTTAACATGATAACGTATCATTTCCGTTTCAGTCACTTAATGATTTAGTGTTAAATTAGTTACTAAAATATACATACTCTTAAATCTCGATCACAAAGATAATTTCTCGATCACAAAGATAATTTTTTTAAAATAAGTTGTGAGAAAACACCTTAAATTATTAAGACCGATTACAGAGTATAGTGCAATCAAAGATATAATTCTTAAACAGGATAAGGCATGGCACATATACAATAAAATAAGTGACATTATTTCTATAATAAGAAAAATGAAGTTTACTAAAAGAAATTATAATTGATAGTAAAAAAAATAATAATAAATAAATACATACTACCTTCATTATTTTATTGCAACTTTGATGCAATATCTTAAGTTATATTTTAGTAAGAATTATACAAAGTTGTTAAATTTTATTTTATTGCAACTTTGATGCAATATCTAGGACGTTTTACCAAATTGAGCTTTAAACGGAAACTATTTACGAAAATGGTTGCGTGGCAAAACTATTTACCAAACTAAGCTTCCAGCATAAAACGCTGTCTCGGACAGCGTTTTACCCCTGGTTTTTTTTTTAAAAAAAATTCAACTACAACTATTTTATATGTTCAACATAAAGCTCTGTCTGAGACAGCGCTTTATGCTTGAACATAAAGCGCTGTCTCAGACAGCGCTTTATGCTTGAACATAAAACGCTGTCTCAGACAGCGCTTTATGCTTGAACATAAAGCGCTGTCTCAGACAGCGCTTTTCTGCTGGAAACAGCAACCAGCATCTAGGCAGAAAACAAGCTTCAGCAAACAGCTTGCATGCTGCAGTCCTCCAACAGCCACCACAACAGCCAGCTCCACAGCCCTACCCCACCACCGTCGACCACCAACTCCGCCACTCCCCACCACGTACCACCACCATATTCTGGGAGTTCCGTCAACTTTAAGCACTGCAGAAAACTCGAAACAGCCCAACAACAGTCCAACCACCAAATTAACTTCAAAGCACACACGGAGTCATTCAAAAAAGATTTATTATATTAATTTCATAAGTGTTATGTACATCATTACACAAAATAACAGGGAATACAACAGATAATACTAGCCCGACTCATTTATTCGGGGTAAAGGTCCTGCCTCCTGAGTGTCGGCCCTCCGTCTGACACGTCGCCGCCTGTAATGAGTGACGGTGGTGAATGGGTCTCGGGGCGGTGGGGGAGTCAGCTGACTGGACGAGGGGTCCTCCTGGGTACCAGAGGGCGCAGTACTGTGGATGTTGTAATCCTCTGCGTGTCTGGGTGACGTAGGATCACATCCACCGCTGCTCTGGCCGAGATCGAACTGTGAGTTGCCATCATGACCGTCCCGCCGGTGGGCGAGATGAGCGTGACCATATCTCCGTAAGGTAGCGACGCCCATATCTCGCACCTGCTCGACCTGGGCTCTAGTGGGTCCGCACTCAAGGGAGACTGATAGCGCATCAACCATCGCCACCATATCCGCCGCCTGCAGTAATCATCGATCAGTCAGATCTATGGCATACAAATATGGAAATTGTTGAAAAGGAGTAGAAAAATAATAACTCACATATCCGCTAATGATGTCATATGCTGGATGGTAATGTGTGGATGGTGGTGCGTAGCTGGGGTTGATGAAGCGTCGTGTGATACGCCTGTACCACACCATGTACGGATCGTCGGGATCCATAGCCCCCTGCATTAGATCACCTCCTACGATGAACTCCAACCGTTGCTCCCATAGCTGAAGGAAACGCCAATGCTCCAGCGCCCAGCTGGTCTCCCCCTTTCCCCGACGATCAATGCCGTGAAGCTGTACACTAGTGTCACACCCCTGTGGGATAGTCTGGCGTAGTCCAAACTGCCTCATGACTCGGTCGGGCAGGTGACTCTCCACAACCTCGAAACAGATCAGGGGGACCCTAGCACGCCACTCCGCCTGATGGTCTAGCAGATGTGGAGGCATGGCATCTACCAAGTCAGGTACATACGGGTCCCATGTCACCTGTAAATACACATCAACAGTAATATTATGAATATGTTAGTTCGCAACAAGTACAATGTTAAAACAAAAAAGCTAAAACTGTATTTTAAATTGTTACCTGGTCCTCGGTGAGTCGGTCTAGGGCGTCTCGGTAATACGGAAGACCCCTCGCCGCATGAGCATGTGTCAGCCTGGGTACCACCCACCTAATATCGAACAATGTTTCAGTTAACAACCCCGCGCATTAAATAAAGCCTAACTCAATGAAAGTTGTATCGAACCTGCAACCATATGCCTCATCCGGTGTAGGGAGCGGGGGAGCATCGTACGCCTGGTACTGGTCGTCCTGGTCCTGCTCCCCCCGACGGTGTATCGCAGGTCTGCCTGGTCTGCCTACATGGATATGCTCCCAAGCCCAGAACTGGCACACAGAGACACAAAACTAGCTTCAGTATGAAATATGTAAGTGCGTGGTGAAATAGTTTTTTTGGTACAGAAATAAGTGAGGTACCTGGAGGACAATCAGGGGACCTCCAATCTCGTTAGCACCTACGTGGGATGCTCTGCACAGCTGGCGATACAACGTCGCCAGACAGGCGCTACCCCAGCTGTAGCCTCGGATATGATCCCAGTCGTGGTCCAACAGCTGCATGTAAATGAGCTGGAGATGGCTCCCGCTCTTATTCCCGAACAACACGCCCGAGATGAGGAAGAACAAGTACGCCCGGGCGTATCTCTGAACCTGGGCGTCATCAGCCCCTGGTGGTAGCTCACGGAAAGTCTCACGGACCCAGCCGGTCCTCAACCCGGATCCCCTAATATCGGCGGGACCTGGCTGGACACCAAGTACCCGACCAACCAAACCGACGGGATCGACTAACGCATTTTAGGATTATCGAAATCTAGAGCGAGGTAAATTATCAACACTGAAATAAGACTCTTCTCACCTATAACAACTTCACTTTCAACAACTTCATCAATTTCAACAATTTCATGAACAATTTGAATTATTTCAACAATTTCAACCTAAACTATTTCAATAATTTCAACAATTTCATCTCTTCTCACCAATTTCAACCATTAACAACTTCAACATTTTCACCATCATCAACTTCACCAATGTCATGAACAATTTCAATAACAATGTACCACATCACCATCAATAATTATCAACAATGTACCACATTTTCATTAATAATTAGCAACAATTACAGGCAATTGACATGAATTAACAACAAGTAAGAGCAATTACATACAATTCACAATAATTAACCACAATAACTATGCAATTACACTAAATTCAATTTAGGGCTAACCACGAAATTGAGTGAGTGAGTGTGAGAGGGAGGAGGGCAGCAGCAAGGTGGCGGCAGCAGCGGTGGCGCAAGGGTGGGCGGCGGCGGCAATGCGGGTGTTTGAGTACGGTCGTGGTTTAGTGTGAGAGGGAGGAGGGAAAGCGTTGAGGTTGAGTTCTTGCGCATTCTGCTGAAGTGAACATATATGGCCATGAAACGCTGTCCCGGACAGCGTTTCATTTAAAAAAAAACAGGGAATAAAACGCTGTCTCGGACAGCGTTTTACCCATTGAATTTTTTTTAAAAAAAACCCAAGGATAAAACGCTGTCCGAGACAGCGTTTTATGCCCTACTGAATTTAAAAAAAAACAGAAGGTAAAACGCTGTCCGAGACAGCGATTTACCCTGGAAGCTTAGTTTGGTAAATAGTTTTGCCACGCTACCATTTTTGTCAATAGTTTCCGTTTAAAGCTCAATTTGGTAAAACGTCCCAATATCTAGCCTCTTGCTTGATAATTTTGTCACAACTTCATTTTCATGCATTATTGTAAGTTTCTTTTTTTTTCTTTTTTTTTTTTTTTTTTTTTTTTTTTGACTTACAAAGTCTTTGTGGTCTTGTTTGTCTATATAAGGAGCATATAATGGAAGGACTTAAATGTATGTACCAAAATAGTAAACTACAAATCTTATCAGTTTTGCTTGTTTGCAAGTGTGATATCCTTCACTTAACTTTTTTTTTTCTTCAATGGCTAACCTTGGCAACCCTTCCATAGCTATTTCAACCGCCACCACTTGTTTGTTCATGGTAGCAACCCTATTGTTTAGCCAACACCTTACAGGTATATTTAATTGCGGCATTTTAACTTCAATACGTACTATTCATGTTTTATACTCTTTAACCATCTTTTATGTGAGATATTTTAGGTATATCTATCTTTAAAATCTCAACTTCTTTTACATTGACTTAATTAATTAATTGTAAGAATGCTGAATGGGTCTTATTTCTTAGGGTCCACGTTATTAACTTACATCATTATAGTTTAAGCTTACATAATTGATGTCATGCCTATGTTTTATTAATATATACTTCGTACTTTATAAAATAAATTGTCACAATAATGTTCATTTAGCCTTTATTTATTTTGTGATTGATATTATTAAGAAGAAAAACTTATAAAAAAAAAAAAAAATTAATGTCGACATTGGCTTATACAGAGGCACAAATTGGAGTAGCCTATGGAAGGGACGGAGACAACTTACCATCACCACAAGATGTAGTAAACCTCTTCAAATCCAACGGCATCGGCGCGATGAGGCTATACTATCCCGACCATGCCACGCTTAACGCGTTACAAGGATCAGGCATCCGACTCACCCTAGGCGTCCCTAACGACAACATTCAGTTGGTAGGTTCTAATCTCTCAGCCGCAAAACAATGGGTGCAAGCCAACGTTGTTCCCTTTGCATCATCGATTAAATACATTTTGGTAGGAAACGAAATTTCCCCAAATGATCAGAAAGCCTCATCAGTCTTACCAGCTATGCAGAATGTTTTAAATGCCCTAAATGCGAACAATTTAGGTGGCCAAATTAAGGTTTCCACGTCCATTGGTACAGATCTAGTCGTAAACGCCTACCCACCATCTAGTGGTCAATTTGGTAACACCAACTACATTATACCTATAGTGGACTTCATAAAAAGCAATGGTTCACCTTTGATGGTTAACATTTACCCTTATTTTGCTTACGTAAATAATCGACAACAAATTTCACTTGACTATGCATTATTTACCGCACCCGGTACAGTTGTTACGGACTCTAAAAATGGGAAAAATTACCAAAATTTATTTGATGCCTTAGCGGATGCTACGTATGCGGCTCTTGATAGGGTTGGTGCACCTGAAGTTTCATTGGTCACATCCGAAAGCGGGTGGTCGTCAAAAGGTGGGTTCGCAGCATCAGCCGCGAATGCGAGGACGTACTACACCAATTTGATGATGCATGTAAAGAAAGGGACTCCGTTGAAACCAGGGAGGCCCATTGAGACTTTCTTATTTTCCATGTTTGATGAAGATAAGAAACCAGGGGATGAAACTGAACGTAATTTTGGGCTTTTTAGTCCTAATCAGCAGCCCAAGTATGGCCCATTGAACTTTAATTGATAATACTCTCTATAACTTATGGGCTGGACAGCCCTTGTTGTGTATGTTAGATTTGGCCCAAGTGTGGTTGTGGGCCTGCTATTGACTAAGTCAATGGTAAGCCTAATTTCTTGTTTATCACTTCACTTTGTAAGTTTGTAATGCTATTTCTTTTTCGTGTTGCTATTAAAATTTCACAAGTACTTTTTTTTTTTTAATGTTTGTCAATGTAAACCTCTGAATATCAATATTATCATACGAGTATTGTGTTTTTGTAAAAATTAAAAATAAGTTTATTGTTTGTAGGTACAAATTAAAGCAAATCTAATAAGATTTACATAGTTATATTTTTTCCTAACGTATTAATCACTGAATCGATGGTGAAAGAGAAATTTACAATGCTTTCTCCATTATTATTATTTACTTGTATTTTGTAATGTAAGATATTAAAGTGTGCCTACTGCCTTGTCGTGCAACCAATGTTAATAATTTAGAGAGCTAAACATTGAGTAACTCTTAAATATTTGTAAATAAATGACTTTGAACAATGCAATATGGACCTATTCTGATAGAACTGATTGGAGCTGAATTGAATATTTTATGAGAGAAAGAAATTAAAAACTGAACAAATTGGACTGAACTGAAAATAAGCTAGAGAGAACAGGCCCTACTAATTTGTTTTACAAAGATAACTAGGTTGCACATTTTTTAAGTTCTTTTATTAAGATAAAGAGTTATAAAATTAATTTATACTAAGACTAAGAGGACGGATACATAGTATTATATACATTTGGAAGGATTGCATTATTATAATTTTGTCTCACTAAAAAGATAAGAACAAATCAAAATGCTCAAAGACCTAACTACTAGAAAATCGGGACTCGATTAATTAGTCATACGTAGACCATAACATGTGTATAATCAACAAGTCAAGAGGAAAACAAAACTTGTGGAAATTCTGATATGGACTAGTTAGTTACGTAATAAATAGGTTAGACTTTTCAATTTTGGAGTGTTCAAGGTTTACAAAGCTACGCTAAGCCACGTACAAGGCACTAGGCATGCACGCCACATATTCATACTCAGCTGGCACATAATATCTCAGCTATACTCGTTTTAAATTAATTGTACGTTAGCTTTTAATTAATTTCATTTCGCGTGATGAACTCAACAAAAAGATCTACGTAGTATAAGAAATTAATATGTTAGAAGATAGATGATTTCTTAAGGAGGCTAAACATTCGGATCATTATATACCTAAAATGGAGTGATGGTCGTCATACTTAGGGTACAATTCAATTATGAATCAAGTAATCTGATTCGATCATTCGAGTTATGTGAAGTCTTGAATAGATCAATTGTGAGTTACATAGACAATTTCCTCAAGCTTGCTTCCCTCCCTCAAACTAATTAATTAGTATCAATTTTTCTTATTTTGTCTTTGTCATGACCCCTATCTCAAATTCTCAATATTCAAGATCCCCTACATACTTTTGTGTACAGTCTGTATACACCAAATGCATTAGTTTAAAGGTTTCAATCAATAAGCTCATATACTAACTCCGTTTCATATTAGAGATGATTCGTTCATATTAGTGCAACAAGTAGCTCATTTTTGTAAATATAAAAAATTCAATTGATGCACATAATGTGAAACGGAACGAATAGTATTAACAAATTTCTAACCACATCACAAGTTAATCCATAAAGGGGCTGCTATATACGCAAGAAAACGTTCAGCCTGGCCTAATCATATTTTTTTTAATGCGATTTGAAATGTTGTAGATAAAGGACATAATTTGCGTTTGAAATAATATACCAAGCAGCCATATTGTTAGACTCATTCATATTTATTATTTATTTTTTAATTATAGTGTGGACTTTTCAGCTACTCCAATTTCCTTATAAATATTGACCTTTGCATGATAATGTAATCAACAATTAAAACTATTAAACTTTGTTCTTAAGTAAATTCAATCTCAAATGGGGTTAATAAGCAAACCTTCTGCGGTTGCTACTTTGCTGCTTCTTGCAACATTTCTACCTAGTCTTCAAGTAACAGGTATGCAAAATGCTTAAATATTTGTTATTCTTTAGTTATAGTAGTATAACTTGAACTTAATTAAAGTGGTAGAGAAAAAACAATCTTATAGATCTAATATAATTTGTTTCATGTAATGCAGAGGCGCAAATTGGTGTATGTTATGGAAGAAATGGGGACAATCTACCATCCCAACAAGAAGTGGTTACGATGTACAAAAATAATGGAATAACACGTATGAGACTATATGATCCCGACCAAGGATCCCTCCAAGCCCTTAGAAATTCAAACATAGGGCTAATCCTTGATGTCCCTACCGACAAAGTCATCTCACTCGCGAATGCTGCAAATGCAAGGACATGGGTCCAAAACAATGTAGTCCCTTACGCGTCTAATGTGAATTTTCGTTACATTTCAGTAGGTAACGAAATCATGCCTGGTGAGGCCGCGGCAGGATCGGTCTTACCTGCCATGCAAAATGTCCAAAATGCCCTTAATGCAGCTAACTTAGGTGGTAAAATCAAAGTCTCCACAGCAATCAAGAGTCAGATTGTTTCGGGTTTCCCACCTTCTGCCGGTGTTTTTACATCTTCACAATACATGAATCCAATTGTTAACTTTCTAAAGAGTAACAATGCTCCTTTATTAGCCAATATCTATCCATACTTCTCTTACCTTGGTACTGATTCTATAAAACTAGATTACGCGCTCTTTACTTCACCCAACGTCCAAGTTACTGATCCAAATAACGGTTTGAAGTACCAAAACCTATTTGATGCACTAGTGGACACGGTGTATGCTGCATTGGCAAAGGCTGGAGGCCCTAACGTACCAATTGTCGTGTCCGAAAGCGGGTGGCCTTCGGCTGGTGGTGATAGACGTGGTGCTGCTACCTTTGGTAACGCAGGACAGTATTACAAGGGTTTAATAGGCCATTACAAGCAAGGGACTCCCTTGAAGAAAGGAGCAATTGAGACGTATTTATTTGCTATGTTTGATGAGAACAGAAAGAGTGGTGGTACTGAGAATAATTTTGGACTGTTTAGGCCCAATAAGCAGCCCAAATACCAACTCAGTTTCAATTGAAATTTAATTACTCGTATATAGTTTTCTGATATACTTCGTTCGTATAATCGTATGATGTTATAATCATCATAATGAATAAGTGAAATAATGTTACACAGGCTTTGCCTAAATATGTTATAAGTGTTATATACTTTTACTTGTAATAATGTTATTGATATTATGCCCGTCCAAAAAAAGTACTCCGTATTATTGAAATATTATGCACTACTACTGAGCTCATTTAACTATGATAGTATGATACTTCGTATTAATTTTATGACGAGATATTCGTTCAATATTATTGGAATTTCGGTTGCTTAGGCATTGTGGGCCAAATTGCCCACGTACTTTTTGGGCCGCATGCCTTTGGGCCTATAATTATAGAAATGTATGTGTGAAATGTGTATAGAATCGTTCGATATCATTAATATGAATATTTATTTTTGGTGTATAGAGAGTAAAAAAGGCTGATGAGAATTGATTCTAATATCTCTTAAAAGTACTAATTGGATGTTGGTATAGTGGTGATTGGAACTATACTTGCTAGGTTGGAGTAGGACATGTGTTCGATCCCCCACAACAACAATTGGGAGGGGACTGGAAACTAATTTAAAACAAATTAATACACTCTTGTCACTTTCTTTTATTAGTTTTTTTAGTATCAAAAGCTCTTTGTTATATAACTACTAGTATATACAAAAACAAAGATAAAATATCACACGTTTCATTTCTTCATTAAAAACTAAAAATTTCACTTTTTTTTTTTTCCTATTTTTTTATTTGCCAAAATTCTCTTGAAAAGTATTGTAAAAAAAATTATAAGCTACTCCAAATTATATTTTCTTTTCCAATTGGTTATCATCTTTGGTCCATTCAGCTAAGTTTTTTTTTTTTTTTAAAGGAATTTTTAACAAATATCCATCAAATTCCTCTATTCTTTTTTATGATTTCAATCTTCAAGTCCACTTTACTTTAGCGTACACCCCATGCATTTGTTTAAGGTTTCGACCAATAATGATGATGATATACACATTACGTATAATCAAATTCTAATTACCCTCGTCACAAGTTAATTAATAAAATGGCTAGTTACTATACGCAAAAAAAACGTAAGTTCAACCTCGCCTAACCAATTAACCATGATTTGTTTTTTAATGCATTTTGAAATATTGTAGATGATAAAGGACATTTTTGTTTGAAACAATGTACCAAGCAATTATGCAGCTAGTAATATTACTAGACTTTTATTCATACTGATTAATTCTTTTTGAATCATAGTGTGGACTTTGTGCTACTCCAATTTCCTTTAAATATTGCCCTTTTCATAATAATTTAACTACAATTAAAACATAATCTTATCTTAAGCTTAAATATATTTTTTCAATGGAGCTATTAAGCAAACCTTATGCAATTGCTACTTTGCTACTTATTGCAATATTTCTACCTAGCCTTCAAGTAACAGGTATGCCAAATGCTTAATCATTTGTCTTTCTTTAGTAGTATATATAGTAGTAAAGATTTTTTATGATAAATGGAAGCGAGTAATAAATTTTATTCATGTAATTTGTTTCATGTAATGAAGAGGCGCAAATTGGTGTATGTTATGGAAGACTCGGGAACAACCTACCATCCCAACAAGAAGTAGTAGCGTTGTATAGAAATAACGGAATAACACGAATGAGATTGTATGGTCCCGATCCAGGGTCTCTCCAAGCCCTAAGAAATTCAAACATAGGGCTAATCCTCGACGTGCCTAACTCCGATGTCACATCACTGGGCTCTAATGCTGCAGCCGCAAACACCTGGGTCCAAAACAATGTAGTCCCTTACGCGTCAAATGTAAATTTTCGTTACATTTCAGTAGGTAACGAAATCACGCCTAATGATGCTGTTGATAAGTATTAGGTGACTCGTACTTCGTAGCTTTGTCCGCCCGATCGGGCGGACATTGCCCGGTCTGACCGGGCGGTGGGGGTTGGATACGTTGAAGCATTCGTATGGAGTCTTCTTCTCGCGCCCGATCGGGCAGACCTTGCCCGGTCTGACCGGGCGGAGAAGGAAAAATACGGAACGCGGATTTTGCGGTTTTAGGTTATCTTATTTTATTATCTTTTTGCCCAAGTATCTTTTAATTAGGGATTAATATAAAACCTCCCTAATATCAGTATTAGGGTGAAGAGAGAGAGAGTGAGAGCCGTTCTTGAGAAATACAAGAATCATCTTTGTAATCTTTGCAGTTTATAGTGAAATCATTCGATCTCGGTGCCCGTGGACGTAGCTATCACATCGATAGTGAACCACGTAAATTCTTGGTGTTGTTCTTATTGTTTGTGTTTCGGATGAAAACAATCGAATCTCGGAAGATCCTTTTATCTTGAGGGAACTTGGTCTCGGTCCGAACGACGCAGGAGCCGAGGGTTTCCTGCACAACAAATACACGTAAACTAGCCTCGGGGGGACGCCGAGGAAGGCCCCTCCGATGCTTAAGTCAGTATATTAGAGAGAGAAAGCTGTGCAAGAGTTTAGTTGCTTGAGGCTTTATTGTCTTACCAAGAATTGACCAAATTGTTGGCTTTTATACCTTGGCTAATGAAGGAGGCGGATTGGGCCCGGAAGTCAGTTGGGCTGGGCCAAGCTGATTGGGCCGTTGACTGACCTTGACATGGCTTTGAGGATGTTGATTTTTGACTTTAGCACATTTGGAGAGTTGAACCTTAACCTTGGGCTTTTAATTGGATCATTCAGTGACCAGGCCCAATTGGACTAAATTGGACCCAAACAACTTGCCCCCCAGACCCGATTTGGAAGGATGACGGGTCGGGTTTGATTTAATCAGAAAAGGAGGGAAGTGAATGATTTGTTAATCCAAAAATGTGAATTTAAACCATAATTAACCCATGATTAATGAGATAACAACAGTTAATGTGGATAATTGCGGAAGTTGGACGGGTAGTGGGCGATTTAACTGCAAGGTCGTGTGTTTAACGGTTACTTAGTGGGGTGCTTGAGAGAAATTGAAACGCAGACTCCTTGAATTCCCATTTCTGGAGATATAAATAGAGGCGCGTCCTCTCTCCCCACTCATTCATCAACACAAACCCAGAATTCTCAAGAACGCTCAAGAGCCCGCATCAAAACTTCGCAAATTCCCCGAGCATTAAGCTTAGAAGCTGAGACTTGTCACTACCAATTCGTAAATCGGCGGCTTTTGCTTCAGATCAAGGTAAATTCCTTTGATTTTATTTCATTTTTCTTCGACTTTGCACTCTTTCCCCTTTTTCGACTTTTTCCTTCGAAATAGTCCATGGCAAGAGGAGTTAGAGGTAGAGCCCGTGCTCCAAGAAGAGCAAGGCCGATTCCCGATCCTAGGAATAGGATTGGGACCTGGAATGGTCGAAGGCCGGAGTCTGACCCTGCTGATGGGATTAGGGCGACTCCCCTTTCCTCGGCTCCTCCTCAAAGAACGGATGAGCCGAGTGCTTCTGGACGGGACGATGAAATTCCCGCTGTCCTTTGGGATATCCTCCCTGGGTTTTCAGAGTGGGAGAATGCCGAAGTCGCTTCGGCCATGATAAAGAACCGCCCCTACTCATGGTGGGTAGAGAACGCCGATCAATATCGATTTGCCGAGCAAATTGAGTTGCACTACGGCATTTTTGAAGCTGATGGATATTGGTGCCGAATGCCCTCAGCATCCGATAGAATCCATCGTCCACCCCCGGGGTATGTGGGGGTGTACACGAGACAGCTTCAGTATGGGCTGAGGTTCCCTTTGGACGTTTTCGTCCGAGACTTGCTGATCCATTACAACATTTCCCTGTGCCAGCTGACCCCCACCAGCATCCGAAGGGTGATGACATACCTATGGGTCTGCAAGTTCTTCAGATACGTGCCGAACCTGCACTGCTTCCGAAAGCTCCATCGGCTAGTGCCAAATATTCAGAGTGGGCACGGAAGCCATGGTTCTGGGTGGTATCGGATTGAGTCCCGGCCCCAATATTTGACCATGTGGCCAAATGACTCTTCAGACAAGGACTGGAGAGGTCAATGGATTTGGGTTAGGGCACCCATAGATCCGGGCCACCCTTGTGTCTTCAGCGCTCCCCGGTATCTTGCCGAGCCGGATCCTGATATGGGAAGTTTAGGTCCTCCCGAAGATAGCGGGCCAGACCCGAACCTTAATCAGCAGAACATCTTCGGCAAGCTGCCGAACCGGGGAGGCAGCGGCCGAATGCAGCATATCCCGGAGACTTGGCTCCCCGATACGCACTATGTTTTCCAAGAGAATATGCTGGCAGCTGTCGGCCTCAGCCGAAAGTTTAGGGATGGTAATCTTCTTCGGCTGGGGCCGAGGCCTTTTAATTATCTCTTTTTCTTCTCTCGCTTTGCTTTTTTATGCTGTGCCAACATATCTGAGCTAAACTTTTTCCCTTTCCTTTTTTCAGAGCGGGACGAGACCAACGTTGGTATTAACTACGCTCGTCTTGGTGTTAACCGAGAGCGAGTTGTAACTGAACGGGCCCCGTCTATCACTGAGCCGAGGCATAGGGAAGTTCATCTGGACTCTTCCCACTTCCAAATTGAGGCTGTCGCTCTGTATCAGAGGCAGAAGCCTTGGTGGAAGAAGAGAGACCCTTGGTTTCAGCTGCTGAACGAAGAAGCTGAAGCTGCCCGCACAGCCGAAGAGGTTGCACGGGTACTTGAGGCTTGTGAAGGAGGAGAAGGGTCCTCCAGAGCTGCTGAAGCCGAAGCTGCAGCTAGAGCAGCTGAAGAAGACGAGGCTTTGCTGAAGACCTCGGTGAGCTTTCAGACAACTTTTTTTCTTTTCTTCTTCTTCTTTTTTTTTACTCACACTCTTCTTCCCCCCTGTCTGTTACAGTCTGAAGAGAGTAACAGACACAGAGAAGGCAAAGCTCCTGTTCGTCCCGAAGATCAAATACAAGAGTCTTCAGACTCAGATATGGACGAGCAGCCTCTTCTGAAAAGGCGCCGAAGGATGGCCATCATCGGCCCTCATGACTTTCAGCAGAGGCCGATGACCATCGGCGTCGCAATAAGGGAACCTGAGGAAGGCAATGGATCGCCGAGGGTTCCCCAGCCAACACCCCAATCTCCTCAAAAGACCCCTCCGCCACCTCCTGAGATGGAGGTGGATCAGAGGACTCCCGAACCTAAGGGAGGGGTCCAAGAAGAAATCAAGGAGAGTGCTGCTGAGCACGGAAATAAAGATGCCGTGATGTCAAGTGCTGAAGGCTTCACGGCAGATATCGCAAGAGAGGTTGAGGCTTTCGTCCTCACCCCTGAAGAAGAGGAGGTCATAGTACTTGACTCCTCTGAGAAGGACGATGCTGAGACAACCAAAGCTAATCAAGCTCCATCGTCGTCCTTCCCTTCTTTCCAGACTCTGCATTCTGGAGAAATGGGTTTCTCGGCCCCCCGAATTCCAATCCCAGATCACATCTGGGACCTCATATGGGGTCAAAACCGAGAAGGAGCTGCAGCCTACTTCGGCAATTTTGCTGGCATGTCCGAAGTAGACAGGGCAAGGATCTGGTCGCTGAAGGCCACTGCTGGGATGGGCGAATCCAGTAGATCAGTTCCTGACCCAGCCAGGTCTAACCAACTGCTGATGATGCAGGTAATTTTCCTTCATTTCCTCCGAAATTCAGCTCTATTTTTTTCTTATTACTTTTTTTTTTTTTGTCTTCCTGTTTTCAGTTCGTGCACAATCAGACTCTCACTGTAGAGCTGATTGATACCCTACAAGATAGGGTAGACGCTGCTGTGCACGAAAGGAAGGTGGCTGAAGAGGAAGTTAAGCTTGCTAAGCTGAAGCAAGCAGCAGCTGAAGAGAAGCAGCAGGAGGTTGAGGAGTACGGTAAAAAAGCTGCCGAAGCTCTGAAAACCTTCTGCGATGCTATGGAGATGGAGGTTTTTCCCCCACTGATGGAAGGGGAAAAATTCCTCCAGGAGCATATGGGAGTGGACGTCTCCAAATTCAAGGCTGCTATTGAGAGCCGAATTCAAGAAGGAACTGCTGCACAAGCTGAAGTGCAGCAGCGTCTAGAGGCTCTTGAAGCCAGCCGAATGGCTGCTGAAGAGTTGCTCTTGGCCAAAGACGTCCAACTCTCAGAGGCTGCTGCTGCTGCTGAAGCTCAAAGAGCTAAATTCCAAGAGGCTGAGGATCAACTGCTGATCCAGAAAGTTGAAGTGGCCCAAGCTCAGACAAAGGCTCTCCAAATTCAGCAAGAGCTGAATGAGCTGAAGGGGTCCTCCTCCAAAGTCGCTGAACAGCTGAAGAAATCCAAGGAAGACTTGGAGGAGACCCAGAAGAAGCTGGCTGATGCTGAGGCTTTACTCAAAGTCCGTGTTTACACCCAAGAGGAATATGAGATGGGTTTCAGAAACGGATTCCGAGTATGCCGAAGACTCTGCCTTCATGCTGAGCCGAAGCTGGACTGGTCTAAATGTGCTGAGTGGGTCCAGAATCCCGAAGACCCTCACATGAAGTATGCAACTCCAGCTGAAGCTGAAATTCTTAAGGCTGAGGAAGCCGAAGAGGAAGCTGAAAGACTGGAGTTGGAAGCTGAGCAGAGGGAAAGGGAGGCTCGGCAAAGTGCAAAGCCCGCCTCTTCTGCTGCTGGGGCTGAGGCCACCATGGGACTCAACGCTGATCAGTCTGATCCTCCGGCTGAAGCATAGGAACTCGGGCAGTCGTCTTCAGAATCTTGCGGTTCATCATGTGCTTAACTTTAGACTTGCCGCTTTCTGAATTTTTGCCTTTTGTTTTTTTTTTGCTTCAGCTTGCCTTATCGTACAACAGCTTATTATATTTTTATTTTGCCTGTACGTATTTCGGCAGCTGTTACTTTCCGCTTGTGGGCGGCTGCCGACTATTTTTGTAA